GCCCCCCCAGCCACTAAAAATCCCTGCACTCTTCAGGGCACAGCTATTTTGAAATATTAACATCTCTGGAGCACCGCAGGACCCCAATATGTTCCAAGGCTGTGCAGAGACATGGGGTAGGTTTAGCTATGCTGATTAAAGTGATTTAACCTCACTAACAGTGAAAAAGAGTCTGGAAAAACAGTAGATTACACAAAGGTTAAGTGAATCTGTCTACACACATAGTTGAGTAAGGAAACATGAAGTGTTTTCCCCCCTTTCAAACAGTAAGCGTTTCCTCCAAGAACAACAAGGCAGCGCAGGCAGTTTTATAAACTTTGCATGCATTAAAACTTTGACTGAATGCTCCAGAATCTCTTGTCTATATTCTATAATGTTTAGCATAAAAGCTTAGCTTGGAATAATTGTTACCCCTGGAAGAAAAACTGCACGAACCGGACATGTCATAGCTCATACATACCCCAGACACAACCAGCTCCCCTCCGAGGTTTTGAACTTCAGCCTTCACTTTGCTACAGATATTCAGCTGATGGCAATACAGTGCGATGCGCTGCAGGTAGGCTAGGAGGTCCTGCTTGCACGCAGAATCAGGGCACTGGAAAAAACAAAGGTGAAATTTTACTTTGCAATCACGAAAACTGGAACAGAAATCATTTAGGGAAAAAATAGACAGCTCTGTTCTGTAATAGTGAATGTGTTCCAGAGATCCATTCCCCCTTCTGTTGAGCTTTGGTTTTCAAAAGACAGCTGAGCAATACATGGGCATCACTAAATACATACAAAAAACCAGAAGCAATAAACACGGGCTATTAGAACACAGGGGCAGCTGCTGGACAAAATTGCCGGGATCCTTTCAGCTGCACGGCTGCCCTGGAGCTCCCTGCGAGGAAGAGGAGGGCAGCTACCTAACCTTTCCAGAGCAGGTTTGTTAACTACAAAAGGTCCTTCCTGTACACGTTACAGGACACAGCAGCAATGATTTGACATCCAAGATCCAAGTTACAACTAGCAGATGTTACCAAATCCAGCCTCAATTTCCAATCTTAAGTATTTTAAGCTAGGAAATGATAAACCTGACTGTTACTCAATTATATCCAAAGTAGATATTTTCCTGATTTCCGCTCCCATTTCTTAGGAGTGTGGAAACTAGATTCCTCACCAGGCATGAAATAAAATTTTTAAAGTGCTTGCTGAAGCACTCATCTGTAAGATAAAAGTAACTTTTTCAGCTTTGCAACTGAAAGACTACGTAGGTACCGGAGACTGCAGTGCAGTTCAGAAAGCTGTTTTCTCAGACAGAAACGAACGGCCATCCCTTGCTTTGCAGAGCCGAGTGGTGGGATGATTAATGAGGCAGTCTCATGCTGGATTTCAAAACAAGAAGAGCCCTGCTGAGGGGCAGCCACAGTCCAAAACGGAATCTGCAAGCATAAGACAAAAAGACTACGGGAAGCCTTTTACTACCCATGCCAGTCCTGCAGTATCTTTAAAAACGGCAGCGAGCATGGTGGCCAGCATCGCTTCTCCAAAGAATAATGGGCCATCCCAGATCTACTGGCACGCTCTGGCTGTATGAAGACTAATGAAAAAAGCAGCTGGCATGCACTGAACTCCACAAACCCTTTGCCCACCAGCCTCTCGTGCTGCTGATGAATAAACCCAAGGGCATGCGTGCCACACTCCTGCCTGATACATGCAGCACTAGTGGGGTACCTAGGGCTGCCTGCTCCCCAGCATGGGGCACCAAACATCTTGCGACTGGGTAAGTATTTGGGCCATTGGCCAGCTCTGACCTCCAGACATCACTGGCTGTGCTGCAAGAAGCACCCAAGACAACAGATTTTAAACCAGTCTGGATATATTCATGATAGCAGAAGCTATTGCAATAGGGATGCTGGGGATATTACGGTCCAACAGGTCATGTTCTGGTAGACCAAAGGCACCCTGCAGTGATCTCCATCCTTCCTAGACGCCTGCACCCCATCCAGAAACTCCTTAGATCTCCAGCATCCAGGGTCTTGGTACACAATCCCTCATCACTAAATGCAGGCTTTCCAGCACCCCATACACACACGCACTCATGTACAAAATCCAAACGCTTTTCCACGGCCCCACAGCTTAGCTTGACTCGATGGCAAGCAGGGCACACCACTGCTTCTCCCCTCCAGGTAGTGCATTAGCTGCAGTCTGCCCGACCAGCCTCTTGTCCTGGAGAAGCCCGGCACCGGCTGCCTCCAGCGTACCAAAAGTACAAAGACAAGTACCAAAAACTCCACAGAAACTACGAGTGGCCGCAGTGATTTACCAGTGTTAGACATGAAAGGGAGAGAAGAGTCTTGCTCTAAGCAGCATTCGCTTCCCATCACCCAGCACCTGCTTGCTCTTCCCACCGACCAGACCCTGCTGAGATTCAGAGCTGCACAGTCTGCGAGAGCTCTTCTCCACACATCCCGGTTCACAGCAAAATCCCATCTCATCTAGTACCCTGATCCTGTACAATGGTCTGTCAAATGAAGATACATAATAGACACGGTATGCTTGGAAGAATAACCTTAAAGGGAGCACCAAGTTACTACTTTAAGCTTCACTGAAGTTCAGGTTTATTGCTTATGGCCACACAGTCTCTCCTCTCTTTTCAGAGCAAGATAAAAATCCCCTCTTGGGCGTCAGCAGTAGGGTCTGAGCCCTAATTCTCACTGCAGACCTTCTCTCCTTAGCTGCAGTTCTAGCAGTACAAGATGGAAGCAGGAACCAAAGTCTCCCTGTATATAAAAGGCACAAAAGGAGACTGCACCAGAACAGACCCTCGTGTCGCGCAAGCAGCGGTGTGCAAACAGGGGGTCACATTCACACGGAGCATTTGCTTCCCACACCAGTAACTGATCTGCCATAACAGCCATTTAACTCTGCAAGGAAGGTGAGTGTAGCTAATAAATACATTTGGTTTTTACCAGGGCCAGAACAAGTGGGTTTTTTAAGCCAATGTGGTATTTCAGCACAGCAGAGAGAAAACAGCTTACTGTACGTTGCATATAGAGATGCCTCTGTATGGCAGGCTGCTGAGCTGTGATCTAAGGCAGCGCACACACATACACACAATGCACTACAACAGAATTTTTGGCAAGCGGGGACAAACAGATCAGGCTGTGTAACAGAGGCTATGGAGATTTGGATGGCTTTACGGACATCTGACCCTGTATGTCCATAAACTAACAGAAATCACCTTCTTATTCCCAAGGAAAGCTCATGAAAACACCCGAAGTATCTGCAACTCTTACGTAGGCACGTTGCTTCCATCAGTGAAGTGAAAACCGCGAGTAACAAAGCAGCAAAGCTTGCAGGTTAATTTTTTAAGCTAATCAATATTAGTCAGCAGTACAAGATGTTTCAGAGAAAGTCCACAAATAGCATCGGCCAAAGAGCTAATGAAAAGCTGAAATTACCATTTTGGAAAATGCTCTCCATCTCCCAAACAGCTCATCTAACAAAGTGAACGAGCAGCACAGCAGCAGATTGAATTGAATGTTGACAAATGCACAATACGGCATGTCAGAAGGACCGCTAAACAATGCAAGGTACTTTATGGGTTGCGAGTTTATGGAAACCATTTAAGGAACGGCACTCTCAAGGAACGAGGCTGCCACATGTTTACCAATGGCTGAAGGAGGCAGCAAAACATTAGTGGGGGAGGCAGTGGAATAGGAAATATTATTCGGTTGTATTTATCAATATGACGTGAGTTGGAAAACCACATCCTATTTCTACGAGCAGAACAGAGAATTCAGTTCAAAGACAGATGATGTTTGAATAGAGATGTAACACAAGATAAAAACCAACATCAACAAAAGGCACTGCGGATGCCTGTATGAGCCCTGTCCTTTCCTACGCAGAAACACTCAGATAAAAACCAAAAAACCCAAAAAGCAACAATTTCATCACTGATTAAGAAAGATTACATTATTGTATTAACCAACAACAGCCATAGACAAAAAAACCAACTGTCTGCAGAGGTAGCTTGGGAGGGTTCCCACAACATGGTCACAGCAGATAGCTGCACTATAGACAGAAACAAATGTGTGTTGGGGGACACCCCCACCTCCCCAAACCCCCCAAAATGAGATTCTGTCACAGACTCAATGGTGGTTGTTGGCAAAAGCTAAGCTGGCTGCTCCAAGTCAAATCCAGGATCCATCCCGGAGAGAGCAAACGTGCACACACATTCACTTCCTACCATTCCAGCTGAGCCTGCGGAGAAGCAGGATCACCTTTTTCTCCCTTTTTGCAAAGAAAAGGGACAGGGAAAGTCAGAAGAGCTCTCCCGCAGTGTGTGCTGATTAAGACAAGCGCACAACCCCCATCCCCACATGTCTGGTAGGTGTAAGCAAGCAGAGGCTTTTCTTCTTCCCACTGTATCTCCAGTTTAGGGTAATAGTAATTCGCAATAAAATGCCCCCGCCAGCCCTATGTAACAGCTGGGCTCGGCACTGTTTGGTTAGAAAAGCTGAAAGCAGGCATTTAGGGGGAGCAGGTACCACGGCAGGACAGGCACATGGCAATGCGTGCCAGCAGCTGCCACCCAGGACAGCCGTCAGCCTGTGCCCGGAGCACATCCCCGGAGCAGCCTCCGCAGCGCATGGACCAGTCTTGACAGCAAGAGCCTGCTGGAGCGTTTTTCTGGGAAGTGGGGCAATCCCTACGCTTCCCCCCAGCTCCTTTCAATTTAATGATCAGATACGGATACAACCTCCCACCACTATCAAAGAGAAAAAGCAACGGAATTTTTCTTTTGCTTTGTAAGTATTTCAACACTGAAAAAAAAAATACGGAGAATCATTGTCTTGCTGCAAATCATCTTCATTTGTGTTGAACTCATAACTTTCATATTCCCCCATTCAAAACAAGCAGACTGCTGCTCTGAGTGTAAGATGGAACACCTCTGGGAAAATCTGCCAGCTGATGGCTAGACACTTTTCAACAGACGTGAAATACCTTGGATAATAGCTTTTATGTTTTCAAAGAAAATGTGCTGTAAAACTGCCTGACGGCAGGAGTTAGGAGTTCCTGACACACTAACACAAGGGGTCATGATTCACCCGGTGTCACATGGTGAACAGGACATAAAAACCCATCCATTTGCTAAAAGCCCGTATTAGGCATGGGAAGGCATTAGTGCTGCACTGAAATGGTTGCATTGTACGTCCTCTGTAACTGTCAGATAGTTCTACGTTAACAGATAACTACAAGTTTCTAAAGAGTATGTAAGCACAACTAATGAAATATGCAAGCTGGAAGTATTAGTAGAGTATGGAGAAGGAAAAAAAAAAAGCTATATTCTTGTCAAAATGACTAACTGTACAGTCCTGCTCATATTTATCTTCAAACATGTGCTTAATCTTTTACATTTTTAAGGACCTTACTTCTACTAGGAGCCATTTACTTTTCTTCTGTATTTTGAAATGGCTCAGTGCAGAAAACTGTATACCAAGTTTGCATAAAGCATGTGAATTAAAGAAAAAAAAGCATTGTAAACCTTCAGCCCAAGATTCCCCGAGATCTGTAACACAAACTGCTCCTTGCTTCGTTTACCTACAGCAGCAGCGCACCCGATTCTTACAGAAATATGGTTGTCAAAATGCTATAGCAAGGAGACCCATTTTAAAAAGCACTTTTCAACTTTATCTCCCCATCGAACATTTCTCACTGCATCATTAATAAATTAGGATGAAGACAACATCCTCTGGATGCAACATTTAAAGAGAGATCTGCATTACAAAGATTTACTTCCAATGTGACACAGTTTTATTTAAAACCTCGCATTATGAATTTACATTCAGAGAAGGACTGAAAAGCAAGCAACAGCTGTACAAAATAGAGTTTAGTCCATGATCTCAGACTTAACCTACCTGCATTTCAGGGTCTCTCTTGAAGGCAGAATATTATTACTAATGCTGATGTTCCTGTGCAATTTGGGTGTGGACTAAGACCAAAGGTGCTTTGCTTGGCCCAACCCAGTTTCTGAAGTAGCTCAGGACAGGCAGATGCATTGCATAAAACCCCGAGCTGGCCCATACTCATTCAAACCTACAGAAGTCTTTTCAAATACCTTTGTACATATAGCACAACAACACGCACAGCAGCCTGGGACAGTGTAGAAAATGCTCAAGTCACTACGTGCCTTGCTCAAAGTCTTCATCAACTCTGACTAGACAACGAAAAAAATACTAGAGAGTTTTGACAATCTCACCATTCAGTCTATGGGGCATCTGAAAATTGTTAATATTAAAAAGCTGCCTCAAAAATAATATTAAAGGTTGTGCAATAGGCCACGTGCAATAATTATGGTGTTGCCTATGCAGTCTCATCATTGCTTTGGAAAGTATTCGGCATATTCTGAGCATGACAGAAGCGACACGAATTCAGTTTCAGTCCTGTTCAGTTAGAGAAACTGGCCTAGATACAATGTGACACGAAGCAGTGTTGGCATATTGCCACCTTAAAATGGTAGGTGCTTGATTTAAGCCAAAGAGCTGCTAGTGTTACTGCTGGACATATTTAGCTGCTTACACTGCTTAGGGTGGCAGCAGAGCAGCTAGAAAGAAAAGGTTAGAATTTTCTAGCAGCAAATCTGGAAAATCAGTTAAAAAAACTCCAAAACCTCAAAACTAAACACATTTTCTTCTGTTCATCATGTCTGCAGTACTAAAAGATCTATTGCTCATTTGTGCTGGAGGCTTATGAAAATGAATTGTGACTTACGTGGTCAGCAATAGTCCGTCCCAGCTTGTCCATCCTTGACCCAGCCTCTGCAATCTTCTTGGCTGCACTAATCACATCTGACGTATTTTTCAGTGGACCTTTACCTCTGCAAAACAGAACAGAGTCCACCTTTTAGCACCAGAAAACTGGAAGAGTCAACTACATATTGCTTTTCTCATCCTGTTCCATATAGTACTAGAAGTGATTCCTCATCCAAACTGCATGAATAAGGTTGCACAGAAATACACAGGTGTAGCCATTACAGCACCTTCATTTTCAAGACAGTTTCCCCCTTCCAGCCCTTCCTCATATTTAGATTAAATCTAGGAATAAAAACATCTTAAATTTTACTGTTTTAAGCAACCTAATGATGATAAGAGATAACATTTTAGAAGACAGATTTGCAATTTTCATGGAATGCAACATCAAGTTTACAAAATAGTGTTGTATAAAATCTGGCAAATGAATTGCAAAAGGCATCAAAACCCCTCTCTTTCTTTTCCCTGTACTAGGAACTATTTCTGCAGTACAGCAATATCAAGAAGCCCATAGAATTTAATGTTGAAAGGAACTGAGCAAATATATATATATATATTTTTTTTTTCCTTGGGACAAAAATCACCCTTAAGAAAGAAAGACAGAAAGGCAATAACTGCTGTGTATCTATAGATCAATTTAAACAGTTATTACCACCCCGTCACTGCATAGTAATGCATCTCCCAAGTTAATACACAGGCTTTAGTACGGCAACATTTAAAGGAAATTATAAGAAGTAAGACTCTTAAGAGTACTCGCAAAATATTTCATTGAAAGATCAGCATCCCAGCCAGTTCTGAGAGAAGGTGTTGTGTGTACAAATTAAAAAGACTTACCTTGTGAAGTCTGTCATTTCCATCATAATCATACACATTTGTTTTGCCAGAACAATTATATCATTACCGCTGTCATCCCATTTTGACACTTCAGCATCCAATTTACTCTTTTCTTCCTGGAAGCTTGCAACTTGCTCAGCAATCTTAGCTTTTTGCTCTTGAGGGAGCTGAGCCATGATAGCCTGAAAGAGAGAGTTTTCTCACATTGCCTTATGCCGCCGCTTGTAGAAGGCTTTTTGGAACATTTCACTAATAATCAATTTAAGTCATGTAGATGGGGGATAAAACTTTAATAGCAATCCTCTACCTAGAGGCTTTACAGAACCATTTTCTTCCATTTTGAACCAAAGTTTATATGGTCTTTCTTAAGAAAGAGTGCCCAGAAAGACAAGCTGACTTCTGAAACGTGGGCATTTGCATGGTAAAATTGTTAGACACCAAACAAGTTTGCCAGGTATTACCATCCATCAAAGAAAAACTGCATGAAGAGGAGGGATTTGCCTTTGCTACAAAATTTGAGAGTCTTAAAAGGAAGTATCTTTCAGTGTTGCAATGCAATAGAAGAAATATTACGAGCCTCTTTCCTGCAAAAAGCTAGATGTACTATTTTGAAACATGCATACTGAGGAAAGAGTAAGTGAAAATAAAGAGTATGTGCTTACTCCTGAATAAAATCTATTAGACTAGGTTTACAGCCTGTATGAGACTCAATGCCCTTGCCTTCATAAATACTAGGAGCATTCATGCCTCCAGGAGCAAGTGAAAAGGAGTCTTCAGTACAAAAAAAAAGCCTCTGGCAGCAGCTGTGCTAAAAGGTAAATTAGAAATGTCTGCATTTAAATAAAACGGGAGATAGGGATACAGGAATAGAGAGTGCCTGTACAAGGAAGGAGAGCATGAAAAATACTCTCAGTTAGTATAATTCCAAAGCTGACGTGGCAGAAGTTTGATAAATAAGGCCTAGCTAATTCTTGCCTGGTTTCAGGCTAGAAGAGCCTTCACAAAAAATCTTTCGTGGCACTTTCCCAAGAGCGTAAATTGTTATCGATCCAGAAGGGGACATGTCAAATAAAAACAATAGGTAAGGCCTGTTTTTCCTTCAATGTACTGATTTTAAGTTTTCACCTATTAATGATTATATATTGCCTATCAATGCTTTCATTTTTAACAGTCATAGGAAATGCAGTTAGTTTAAAGGATTTCATTTTTGAGCTCCTCTCAACATTGTCTTGATTAAATGCTCAGTGGACAAACACACACCAACACGTGCGTGAGAAGACATTTTGTAAAAAATGCCTGAATTGCAGAGTTATCTATTTCTTGCCCACAAACTTAGTATGTGCAAGTTGAAAATAACATTAGTACAATGGAATGATGTGTCCCGTATCTCCCTGCAGGAGCTCACCTAATTAAATGGCAGTGCCTACAACATTTGCAATGTCGAAGTATAAAGTAGTTCATCGGTATTAAAAGGATTTTGATCTTTCAGAACATCCAAAATAAAGCACAGCCGTTTGACATCCATCAGACCAACACATGCTGCATTTCACTTAACCTCCTTTTCAGAAGAAAACTGGAAACAAAAGAATGCCGGTTTTCTGATCCAACATTTTCACCACCACCCCCAAAAAATTTAACCTGGATTTTCAAAGCAAGTTGAACCGTTTGTTGAAAGCAGGTCACAGTTTTATAATGCTCAGATTTCTTCCTTACCCTTGCACTTTGTCCAGCAATGAGCTGATCATCTTCGGTCTGAATACTTGTTCTGCTTCGGACGTCAAAATCCTCAGTCTCAAAGTCAGAATCATCCAACTCTTCAGGAGTCTGAGGAAAGAGTAATTCAGTCAGAGTCAAACAATAGATTTCAGGCTCTAAAAATCAACAAGAATATTGTTTTTCAAGCAGAGAGAATGGAAATAAGCAAAGGTAAAAATTATTCCATGTTTTCAACAAAAAGGTAAATACAAGGACTCACCCAGCTTGTGAACATGTGTGATTATATATGCTTGACTGCTCATGTTAAACACCATAGGGATCCCCAAAATTACATACCAGTAACTAAACATCTGAGATTTGTCAGGACACTAATGCACTCAGGATTTGAAACACAGAAAAAAGTTTTTGCAAAACGAACGGTATTTCTGCAACTTGGTTAAATGTAAAAGCTTCACTTGAGATTCTGAAGCTAAAATTACACACAGCTTTAAGGCCTGGTTCAAAACCACAGACGTCGTCTTTAGCACAATCATGAATCAAAGCATCGACTAAATTAACAACAGATAAAATATATCGAAATTTATTCTTATCCCTCAGGAAAAGCTGAAAATTTTTAGCTAGTGAGGGCCAGCTTTTATGCTGTAGGCTAAACATCTGACCTAGTTCCTGCTTGCCTAAGATTTATTTTTGCTACTGCCAGTCTATAGCTGGCAAACTTTTTATAAAGCTTATCAAGTTTAAACAGCATGTTTGTCAAAATACTACATCTTTGCCTAGAGTGGCACTTCATGACTATTTGCAGAGCTGGATCAATAAAGAACTTCACTCATAAACGCAATAAATTGTGATTACAGATAAGATGCAAATAAAGTCCCTGTTCTTCATATTTCTTTCCTATGATTTAAATTTTACAAACTTGTTTTCCAATACAGAAATCTTGTGATACAGTTAAAATAAAGATGGATACGCCAAATAGTTGCCAAAAAGCAAAGGTGAGTATGCTGACAATCAAGACCTAGGGTATTTCAGCCATCATCTCCTCTTCATGCCTTTAAGAACAGAGTATATTCACAAAATCAGCGTAAGGACATATACTAGTAAGTAGCTCAGTGTATCAATATTTTAAAAATTAAAAAAAATTTAAAAAGACCAGTTCTGCTGCATTTTTAGAAACTGTTTATGATTCTCAAGCCCCCTTCTCTTCCCATCCATCCCAAAGCCCAAACAACCTGGGGTATACAAAGCGTAACTCTGCCTTTCAACCTGTCATTGAGAGCAAAAACTCCTCTGGAGGTGATAAGAGACTGCCTGGGCATCAGGGAGGAAAGAGCTTTACTTCAATAACCTACAGATACAGTAACATTTTAGTTTTGAAAATACCCTGCATAAACACAAAAATTAGGAGTTTGAGTGACTTCTCCTGTAAAGAACAAGTGCCACCGGACAAAGCTTCAAGTGAAACAGCTTGTTTGCCCCAGCTGAGCTTAGCAGCATCCCCCTGCGAGCGTGGTTACTCCTGTGGTCCAGTTTGAGACAATGCCCTGGAGAACTGGTGGCCTGGCATCTCTATTTGGATGACTCTCTCATCCTAAATGCATTTAGACCTTACAGCCCTTGGGACAACAAATACTAACATTTTAACTTTTTTATAGGTCACTGATGTGTCACCAGTGAGCTGCCGTTAGCTACTGGCAGCTGAAATGAAGCCATGGCACCCTGACATCAGAGACGAGGCGCAAGGGGAAACGTCAGGATTCCTGGCATCGCCAGCTCGGCTAATTACTGACGACGTGGAATTGGCAGTCATGCTTTCATGTCCTGAATAACAAGGACTTTAGCAGGGGGTGAATCAAATTAGTTTGTCTGCATAGCAGGAAAGCACTGATATCTTCATCTAATATTTGTTGCCTATAAATCCTGAGCTTAAGTTTGAAAAAAAATTATATGGAGAGCATAGAGGTGATTGTCAGCTTTTCTTCTGATCTTCCATATGATTCTTTGCTTTAAGCAGCAAACATGGAAGATACTATTGCAATGGTTACTATAATCACATATATTCTGGGGCTGTACATCCTCAATTTACTTATCACCAAAATGCATCTGCCATGGTTACCATTCTGAAAGATGAAGACAGTTTCTCTGCAAGGCATTTACGTTTGAGTCAGAGGATACAAGGTAAAAAGAAAAAAAGGAATAAACCCCCTACATTTGTTTTTGCTGTGTCTGGCTCTTGCCCATTTTTACAGCGCTAAGATTCAAGAAATATGCCCATAGGTCAGCCTCAGCCAGAACTTTCTTTTCTGCATCCCTTCAACCAATTGCAGGAGCCCTTCTGCGTCTTCCCTGCATGCCTCCTACCAGTCTAACGCTGCCTGACCTACCAGAAATTAGGACTTCCAAGTCACACTCACTGCACCTGAAACACGCAAGCACAAAAGAGACAAAGCCTCTATGAACTGGCCCCTATTTACTGAGGTTAACCAATTAACGAATTACATGCTCTAGGAACTACAGACTGAACTCATCTAAACCTGTTTTTGACTAACTAGCATTAATTCTCAAAATTTGCTTAATAAAGAGCTATCAGGTTTTATTTCTAAGCTCTCAAACCATCGAAAAGCATCTAGAGTTAAGAATCCACTTGCTGTTGTTAAATCAAAGGTCACTGATTTTAGCACATTAACAAGCAAGGCATTAACGTGCTATTACAAAAGATGCGTGAAGGGTATTTAGCATCACAACTCTAGCTATCATTGATGCTCAGATCTGTTTAATGAGTTTGAATCAAAACGTACTTCTGAAGTACTCCACAGAGTGATTAGCAGTTTTCAAGACTCAGAATGATAATATGAGCTAAACGAAAAATCTTACGCTGTCTGTTCTCAATAAAACTGATGCATGTCAGTTCAATAGAGGTGGGGAAAGTGAGTGGAAAAACAGAAAGCTGTTTAAGTTATGCTCACCCGGATCATCAGTACGGCTTTCCTGATATCTCGTATTCCATCGTACACCAGTCGCGAAGCATCGATAAATTCATTTTCATCCATTGGCTGAGCAGGGTCTGAACTCAGTGCTTCCACAGCAGCTTCTACTTGCTCAGTAAACCGCGGCATAACTGAATTAAGAACACAAAATAACAGTCAGTTCCCACCCCAATGGCATTTTCTCTGTGTGTGCCTTGTTGTTAACTATCACTGGAAACCCTGCAGTGGTTCCATTTAAATTCAAAACATTTGTTATAGGACACCAATACTGTAGCTCAAGTCTTACGTTCACTTCAATTTCTGTTTACTCTACTGCTATTTGTTTTTTTCCCCTTAGACAGTGAAAAGTTTATCACACCCTTCTAGTGGACAAGGAGAAAACACCTGGGGAAGCAGTTAAAATCTATGGGATAAAATATTAAGCATTTGTTTAATACTCCCTGTAGATGTACATCATTTTTTGGGAAAAAAATAGTATTACCATGACAAAGAGGGCAGGTTGCACTGCTGTACTTCAGTGACTCACTGCACCCCAGGAAGAACATCACAGAACCATTTACAGTCTGTTTGTTTCTTCAGTGTCACCCTTGATTCTTCATCAAAGTTGTAATTAAAGCAAAACCAACAACTAATAATTGGCACAACACTCATTGAAGCAAGCAGACTCATTCCTTACCCTATATGGATGTTACCAGCTAGTTCACAGGAAACACCCTAATTTATCGTTTAGTGGTGGGTGACTACAACCTTTGTTCTTTAACAGTTATAAACATATTTTACAAAATTTACCCTAAATTATTACCCAAAACTTATTCTACTGGGCCAATAGGCAGAAATCTTCTTTCTGGATCCTGAACACTGACAGAGCCTGGTACAATACTGCAAGATGACCAGCATAACTCTCAAGCCCTGACTCACTGTTTGGGACTCATTCCCCGGTGTGTCAGCTTTCTACAGCTCAGTCAATGACAGCAAGCACATTCAGGGAGACCTTGCGCACTGCTGAGTTTTAAGCCACTCAAGACAGCAAAATTACATTTCTCATTTTGCAACAGCTCTGCAAGTAACTCCCACTAATCTTCACTGTAGTATGTAAATGGAGTCTTTAATAGATTTCACCGGTACATTAGTATCTGCTGCCCATGCGCTTGGAAGCAATATGAATTCAGGGATCTTGGGAGTAACCAACTCTTACCTGTGTTGGACAGTAACTTCGTTGCTTCCAACACCTTCTCAGTGTAGACTCCAGGTTCGTAGTTATCCATTTCAGAAGTGACAACATGAATGACTCTAGCAGCACGTCCTCGAATTGCACCAGCTGTGCGGTCTAAACCATCAACATCTTTTTCTTGGAGAGCAATGACACATTTGTTTACATCTTCTAAAATATGATTCTCTGGTGGTAAAAGAAGGAGGATTTAGACAGTAATATCTTCTTTTCTGTTGCAGTCATCAGCATTGCAGTTTCTTAGTTTGTGACGTGCTCTATAAACCTCCAGTGAGATACTGTAAAGCACTGATGTTTAAGCTTGCTGTGACCAGCAAACAGCTGACCTTCCCAACCAGGTGTCAAAAAAACCATCACTCCATTCACTTACTGGCGTCCACACTTCTTGTCCCCATTTGTACTTGATTTTATCCACAGAAAAGCTGAGTTCAGCTGAATTCTCCCCTAACGTGTTTCTTCCCATATTCCTCCTCTGGACTGCCAAAGCCCTTATTTCAAATATTCGCAAGCCACTCCCCCATCATTCCATGTGCATGGGGCAATGAGGCACCCTCCCCAGTGCCACACCTCATCCACTCAATGCTCTAATAGACTGGGGCACTTGTTGCATGTTTCTAAGTTCCTACATAGTGTTTTGCTACAACCACACACATATCATCAGAGAATATTAAACTATTAGTCCTCCATTCAAATTTAAGACACGTAACATATGCGGTGATTTATGCAGAAAGCGTTCCAGCGACAGAGTACTCAGTGCCTATTAAGAGAACAGAAAATAAAGCCAGGACCTCTGTCTGTAATTTACTTTTAGAATATACATTTTCTTTCTTATACAGAGGTATCTTCCCCCATTTATCAAGTCTAAGAGGCCCAAAATGAGTAAAAACCCCTGAGATTTCTGAAGATGCCTACAGAGGTTGGGATGCTCATTTGGGGAAACCTACCCAAAAGGTCTTCCAAAGACTGTTGGAGACCTCTTTAAGGTATCAGTACCAGTGCTTTGATGTTGCCATCCAACATCAGCATTTGGGCTGCTTGGTAAGAAACTAACTTGGAAACATTTCTGCTCTGTCACTTAAAATAGTTTTCAGCAATACTTACCATTGACTTAATCATGCTACGCTGCCAATCTGTGCCACTGAAGTGGCTTTTATTCCCTATGCAGGTAGTAAAAGAGCCATTTTGCAAGAGTTTGTAGAGACGAGAAGCACATAGAGTTGACTGATAGAGGATTTGTATAAACTGGCCAAAAGGATTGCTGCTGGAAGAGTTACGCTTAATTTACATAAAATTAACAGAGCCAGGTGCAATATTGCGAGACTTTTGTAAGCAACCTGAACAAAAATTACACTTGTGAAATAACTCTGAAGCAACTCAGCCTGAACAAGTTCAGCTGAGGGCAGAATGTGGCCCTAAGAGAGAGAAGCACAGGTTCATTAGTGATTTGACAAGTCAGTGAGCAGGCAGCCAAGGTACAAGAACCACAGCAAGGAGTACACGAAGTTTTGGTATTTAAAGCAAGAGACATACATCCCTGCAAGTTGCAACAGTAAAAAGAAAAAGCATCGGCGTCAGGCCAAAACACAGACTGTTTATTGCTTGAATTCCTTAACGAATAAATTAAGCCACAGACCATTTAAAAGCCTCTTTGGATTATACGAACTTTAATAAAAGGCATGGACAAAATGAGGATGAATATTTAAATGCCTGCTGATCATTTAATGTCTTTTGCCGACGCAAAGTTGCCAGAAAGACGCTTCTATGGAAAGACAATCCCTCACGGGGCAGTCTGCAAGGGACCCTGGGGAAGTACAGGACTGTCAGGTGCATCCACTCTGGTTATACTCTCCCGTTGGATGGTAACAAATCAGATTTGACACTGTTCTATGTGCTTGTATATACACACACTGCTACCTGTCCTACAGGCATACGGACCACAAGTGTCTGGCACAAAATGCCATCTGCTGAGGCTGGGGTGGCAGAGCCCAAGAAATGCTGACACACGGGTTCACCGCCAGTACCTCCAGGGACGTGATAACACCGTCCTGCATCAAAGCTAACAGCCCTCCTGCTGCTGAGTTGGAGAAAAATCTCACAGCAATAGAATGTAACATAGAATATAACACAGGCAACAGCAAAGGGATCTTGTCCTACCGAAATAACTACAGGGAAAATATGGTGTGGTTTGGCAACAAGGTAAGAGGGTAAGAGGAAAGACATTTTTCCAGTAAAAATGATTTTTAGAGCAAACAAGGACATACATAAAACTGTGAAAAGCTAACAGAATTAAAAGTCCCCCACGGCTGTCAATCCTCAATCCACCCCCACCAAACACCATCCACCTCCACCCACCTCCCCATTAAAGGGATTAAGAAATCCTTTTCCAAGCATCCCAAGAAGTCTGCAAGGGAGTCTGGGGGCTACAGGAGATCACAACCTAAGAGCAACAGTCAGGAGATAAAGCCACAGATACATAAATATAACTCTGCTTCTCTGCTGTGTCCCCTATGGAAGGTCTTAAAACAATTTCTATGCTGGACCCTCTCTTGACAAGGGACACTGGAAGAACCAGGTCAAGCAGCACTGTCAGTAGACATGGTTACGGAACGAATACTTGAGTGTTTGTACACTTGTAAATACAGTATTCATCTTGTAATGAACAAGGACAATCATCGGGCACAGGTAATATTCATCCGGAGGCTCTTAAGATGAAACAGCCCCGCTGTGATGGGCAGTCTCTCGCGCAAACCTCTGTCAGCAGCGGAGGAACAGAAGGCAGCAAATGGAATGATTTTTTTAGAGGGTTTCAAGGGAGATCCAGGTAATTTCAGAACATTGAATTTGACAATTACATGGTGCTACCAGCAGCTGCTCTAAAGAACAGAGATAGTGGGCACACAAACACAGCCAGAGTGCTTAGGGAAGGCACTGACAAGAGGGATAAGAATTACCGAAGGTACAGAAGAGCTCTGAAATGAGGAATAATGAAACAGGCAAAGATTCAGCATTCAAGAAAGAGATGACTAACTACGCGTACGACAGAAGTCTGTACATTTACAAACAGCATGAAGAAAGCGAGTAGACAAAAAAACCTCTTCACCATCTTCTACTACAACTAGGGGCATCAAATGAAGCAAATAGGTGACACTGCAAACCCGAGGAGGTTCTTCACACAGAGCACAGTTAAGCTGTGAATTTTGCACTGGACGATGGAGATGCCAGCGATTTATACTGGTTGGAAGAGCAACTAACACAAGCTTAAATGAGAAAAATCTGTCAAGGACTGTTCAGTAGGTAGCACCTCTGATGCTGGAGCTCCCTGAGCTGCAAATCACTCATGGTTGGGAGTGTATAGGAAAGATCTTCAGTCTACAAGACTCCTCTGCTATTAATCTCCCATGCACTGACAATTAGCCACCGCCAGACCATTGTCCTAACTCAATAGGGCCTTTCTCATGCTATGCCCTTCATAAAATCTTGTAACCTGCAAGCTTATCTGCAACACTGTGCATTTAAGAATCCTTATTCTTGTACCATATTCCGCTATTATCTAAACCCAACATCTCTTTCATCAAGCCTTTAACTTGTGCATAATTAATACCATTCTGTAGCATAAGCTGAACAATGAAGCATACACTTCATGATGGACAGCACAACATGTTGTAGGAATGTGCTATTATATATGCACACGCAGACTCACAAGGACGCTTTTTAATTCTGCTTACATCCCAGTTAGCAACTGACAAAACCCTACAATGCACAAATAATCCCAAATGGAACCTGGTATAAAGCATACTTGTCACAATTTTATCCAAAGAGATGTTTAGACTTTTAGCAGACGAATTGGAGTTCTGGCATTTATATGCAAAACATTTATCAAAGTTCAAACAAATAATATTTAAAGCAATATTTATTGCTTTAATATTTTTCTAACATCTCTTTGATAACGCAGCAGATACAAATAATTGCCGAATGCACTTAAGCATCTGAAGTAGTCTCAAACTACAGCACTTCCATGGCATCATTTTGGGTGGCAAGCACGCACTCAAGGTGAACTCTCTCCTGAGTCAGCCTGCACTGCCTCAGAAAAGAAGAGTTCCCTGCTTATTGCCAAGCCCTTGAAACTCTTCAGAGCAACTCAGCAGTGGGCCAACACCATAACCTGTCCCCTCAAAAGCAGAGTACCCATCTCCTGCGATGACCTATACGAGGATGGAGACCACTCAGTTCCAGTGGCTCGACCCATTCTGAGCCACACTGTAAGTGAAATACAGTAAGGCAGCTTTGTACAGACTGTGTTTTCACAGACTAACAGCTTTTTCTCTTTAAAATGTTTGTAGACTTGTGGGCAAACTCCAAGTGGAGCCTTGAACTTAAGCACACAATTCTCTCTAAATATATTTCCCCAGAAATAGGCTCCTCGCAGCTGTGCAATTTCAACTACTGCTGCAATGACAAGCACGAAGACAGATACAAAGAACTAGAACATTCAACTGCCTAATAAGTTTATGCTAACTCATTGCAAAGAAAATTTTTATTCAGAACCCAGGGAACCACAGTAAAACATGTATGATAATACAGGTGACTCACTGTAGAAACATTACCGGGGGTTTTTTTTGGTTTGTGGGGTTTTTTTTTTTCTTTTTTTAATATTAAAAAAAAAAGATGGTCTTTTAATTCAGGCCTGTAGGTTTTTGTCTACATTTCCTAGATGTGTTCACCTGGTACTTCTGATGCCACACATCTTTCTGTGAAATCTCTTTACAACCAGTTTTTAGGTCACTTGAGATGCCAAAGCCTGTCTGCACCAGGAAAATTAGACCCTCAGTTTGTAGTGGTAATTTGTGAACGCTATTGCAGACACAATTCACGTGGTTATATCACCGTGTCCTCTGGCTAGAGCAGAATTAGAGGATGTGGAAATAAAAATGCTCCCCTATTTCTAGGTCACAGCAGCTAATAGTGGGTCTTTATCAATGATGATGATAAAACAGATTATCTTGGCAAGCACTTTGCCAAATGGAATTATTAATCTATTATAATTATCTAATCTTCTTTAAAAACTTTAAAAACTTCACTAAAGCTGACACAGTTAAAAATATTGACAGAGCATTTTCCATAGGAACAGTTTTATTTTAATTAACTTCTACGACCATGGTTTGATACTCATTTTTGTTTACATAAGAAGAGTCTAAGGTGAATTGAGGGATCGACTTCTTTGCTAGTTCATAACTTGAACATAAACATATCCTGTTTCCCCCAATGTTACTGGTGAGGTTTGTCTACAGTAGCTGGATGGTAATTCATCGGTAGTTCAGCTAGCAATCCAAAATCTTGAGACATAAAGTGTCTTTCGCTATGTTTAAGCTGATCTGTCTACTGACATGTAAATATATACATTTATGCATGTACACGCTTAAGTGCAATGACAGGTGCTGAACTAAACTATTGCTGTTTTCACGCTATAAAAATACCTCTTCTTGTGCCAAGATCTTCTGCTCTATTTTCACACCTCGCTCGGCAGAAGATGACATTTGCCAGGTGAAGCATACCAACACCATTTCTTCCAAAAACCCGAGAAGACTCCAGAACATGGGTAGAAACCACCCGTTTCCAGGAATAAGCTCAGTTACGAGAATGATTATTTCTGAGATCGAACCCCTGATTACCTGACACAGCCAGGAAGTCATCAATGGAAGTGATGTCATCGACAGCATCCGTCAGCACGCGGACTTGCTTCTCCCACTGCTCTTTGAAGAGATCCATGTTTTCTTGAGCCAGCTTGCTTTGGGGTTTAGCAGCCAGAGCCAGTGCAGCATTAATAACCTGTAAAACACCTTTGGATTTTTAAAACACACCCTTAACGAAACAATTCGTTTCCATATGTTTACCTAATGAACTCAACAGCAAAGAAAGTTAGTTTAGTAAGTTTTCAGGAACTTGACGTTTAAACACAAAAGCATTTATTCTGTTGCTCTCACATCCAACTCATACCTGCTTCCACATTTATTATGGTTAGTTATTACAGGCAACAACACCTGGCAAGTATTCACACGAGCTAGCTTCACCTTTCTTTAACAGCTCATGTTAAAAAGGTGTTGCTTTCTGAGTGCAAGTTGTGTTGTTAAATATTTTAGACAGGATGACATTTAGTACACTGGAGGCTGCATTTCCTAAGCTACTCGCCAGAACCTGAGAAAAAAGGTCAAAAAAGGACTAATCTTACACGTCTGAAGTAAAAACAATATGCAAAATCAAAATTAAAGATAAATTTTGTATTTATCTTCTTTTCCTTAAAGCTTTACTCTGTACCTTGCCAGTAATTGTTATACTACCTTAAGGTTTCTGTTATGGTGGTGGAAGAGCTAGATTAGCCAGGGAACAGGAGGAGAGGACACTATTTGATGCTCCTCCTGAACACCCCCCTACTAATTTTCTTCAAACCCTAAGACTGTTTTTCTAAGCAGAACAAACGCTACACATACTGCTAGGTAACAAAGTTTATGCTGTGCCAACTAACTGGTCAGTTAAATGACCAAAAAAGCCTCTTCGGGTGTGGGAAGAAAGCAATCTCAAAAGCCTGCTCTTGTTCTTGCTGCACTATGCTCCAGCAGAATGACCTGGAAGCATGCCAGGCGTGAGAAACCATCCACAGCCAGACCAACACGACAATCCTAACCTTGTTTTCAGGCACCCGAGAGTTAGAGCTAATTAACTTACAAGTTCAATGTGTAATTTTTCTTCTGTACTTTAGAACCGTATTAATTTCACAAAGTTGCCAAACAAAACATGCAAGCACCAGATGTTCCTGGTTTTCCAAAATCTACTTTCTCTACCTGCTTCATTTAAAAGTGTCACAAAGCATTTAAAAAAATATAAAACTCACTAAACATGGAAATGATGGTGATGTCAAATATATCGCGATGGCACTGAATGAATCAGGCAGGAGGAGGCTGATTCACCCGAGGGACGCTGGAAATTAGCAGCGACTGAGGAAAATCCACAGAAAAGCTATACTGCTCTCCATGCTACCATCCTGCCTCTGGAGATGGAGGCTGCAAGTCTGGGTCACAAATCAAAAGAAGCTTGATGGGTTTGATAACAGACAAATGTGAGAAACAATTTGGCATGAGCTACAATCTGTTCAGGAGACCCGCAGGGATGAAAGACACCTTTGAACCCTGGCAATAATTACAGTGCCCCGGTCCTTCATGAAGAACATGGGGACCTCTGCTGCTTCCCATTCCCCAAACCAGACATTGAAGTCACACCTTCTGCGTAGGCAGCTGCAGTAATCAGGATGTCCTTTCAGAGACCTGCTGCCAGCCACGGTGCACGCTGCTCTGCGACCCTCACGCTGCCCATTAAGATCATGGTTCTCAAGTCCTGAAAGCCCCGAAAAAAGCCTTGCAACACCCAAGAAAATGATGTTTAAAAATTTAAAATCAAAGAGAAATAGAGGTTTTAGAAGGGGAACCAGTCCTCTGCTCAAGAGCCCTGCTTCTTAAATCTAGCTGACACCATTTCTTGCCCTCGTCTGATTGATGTAATGAATTATCATTCAAAATCTAGATATCCAAAGTTTTACGAAGGTGAATCCAAATAACAAGTGCCCTGGAAACAAAAAGGGTAAAAAAGACAACGCTCCAGAAACCTGCTCTCAGCTTTTATCCTGCTAGTAATCATAACTACTGAGACAGAGAAGATGGTGATACCAAGGGTCAGGACATTTTCTGCTGCTCTCTTCTAGCCACCTTGGCTAGTATCAGATATGAAAACATCCTTTAATCACTGGGACAGGTCAGCATTAATGCCAAAGGAACATATGGCCTGTGTACCTGTGTGATGTATGTCCGGACAGCAGCAGCTGTCTGAACAATTGATCTTTGTCAACAGCACGTGTCCAACCTCAGATTCCCACATTAAGCAACCCTTCACAGGTAATGGAAGAGCTGTCATAGATAGAAGGCTCTGCAAGTGCTCAAGAAACCCAAACAGGGTGTTGTCACCAAATTCAAATGCAGGTGGCACAAGCTGCACCATTGTCCTCCCAACAGGCAGCTTGTCCAACTGAAAAAAGGAAATTTTTTTGTACATTACAACAGCAAAAACGCATGGCCAAGGCAAATGTATTTTAAAAAAATGGCCAAGCAAAACTAGCATGTAAGATCTCCCTTCCAAAGCAGCATTTGGAAAGCAGCCAGCAGTGCTAGAGATGAGGACAACCTGGTGGGGTAATCAAAGGCTATCAAGCATCACTGTGGAACTAAAGACAAAACTACAGCTTACAAAACCCACAGAGGTATGTGTGTGCTCAGGAGGAAATTCAAGGCAGCAGATGCAGCTCAACAGTCCTAGGTTTGTAGCACATACTCCATCTCCATGGGCAAAATGGTTCTAACATTCCATTTTAGCAGTGATCAGACCCTTCACTCTGCCAAATATACACAGCTTAGCATTTACGTAGGGAAGTTATCCTGGACATGTCTCACATGTCTGCTTGGGGTAATGTCCCAGAGATTACTAACAAAACCCTGCAAATTATCTATTCGAGTAAATATGCTCTTACATGATGCCCGGCATGCAGTACAGAGTGACTGATTTATTTTCTATGCTTAGATAGACATGGGAAAAGGACAGGGATGCTGGATCTTAAATAGTCTGTATATGAGGCAGGACTATGATTCCTTTACTATCTAAAAATGAACACTTGGCAGGGAGGGGGAAGGAACTGATTACAGTACACTATTGCTTCTCCAAAAAACATGAAGCATTGGGCAATTAATTTAAAATATGAATAACTCTTACAGGAAGGAGATATATATAGAGAAAGAGAGTTTTCAAAAAATAGGAAAAACATGGCCAGACTACCTGAAATGTAGCTGCTTCCCTGTAAAACATTTGGCAATTTCAGGAAAATATTCTGTATTTCAGAGCTTTTCAAAATGCTGCCAGAGCACTGTGATCACAATGACTCACTGAAGTCGTACAAAGAAAAGAATCAAACAGGGGCATTTTCAGACTATCCAGAAGGAAATGAAGCATGGCAAGAAAACACACTATTTTTATCGGTGCTTTGTTTCATGTAGCAATTGCAATGTTCAAGACAGACAGACCAACGCTCGGTAACATGGTTCCAGGGAGTTACTTGGAGTCGCTCTCCTCCGCCTCGCAGCTTCCCGCGGCGGCAGCCAGGACTTGGCAATGCACGCCCCGAGACCGGGGAAGCTTAGGATTCAAAACACTTGCAACTGATGTCTCAATCTGTACCTCAAATCCTCTTCTCCTGCCTTTCATGGGAAGAACCTGCTTTTTTAAAAATTTATTTTATTTTCCCTATTGAAACTAAAGATGTCAGACTGAATTTATAGATTTATACCTTTGCAAGGGCAGGACTCTCCAAGGTTCCCTGAAGAGTGACTTCTGCCTGGGTTACAAGACTGTGGCTACTTTGCCCAGAAGCTCTCTTAAAAAGCACAACTATTCCAGGACAGAAGACACCTTAACCTTAGATATACTTGTGGGTAAATTAAAGCCAGGTCATCCAGAATTAATTCTTTTAGGCTTAATTTAGGATGGCTTCCAGCCTCACCTTTACACCATCCCATCTGAAAGATTGATAGAGGCTAGAAGAAAGCTCTTATACGTGGTGGTGTTCCTACAAAGAACAGTTTTGAACACTTGGCTGGCATGACCAAAGGAAGAAACATCACTTGGGAGAAGAAAACTATCACCTATTTATTTTGCATTACAATCCCTACCTGTTGTATCTTAATCTAGTCTTAGTGCACACAATGTCTGTAAGCCAAATAATTCTCCATCTCAATGGCTATAAGCACTTTTTATTTTTTGCCTCAGTCTCTGTGATATGGACTTCTTGCTCTTTACAGGAGACTGTTCTTTCTGCAGCTGGTTTAACTTTGCCCTGTTTCCTGTAGTATTGGTTTTAGGATGCAACTGTGCCACAACAAGGAGGAGTTTTTCCAGTTTCAAAAGCTCTAAAACAAACACCCAGTCCTCTCCCCTCTCCTCACTACACACCTTTTCTTTACAAACCAAGTATCTGCTGTTCCTAAGTAACTCACTTGTTTTTTGTTTTTAAATAAAGATCTTCATTTACCAGCTTTCTTGTGGCATTTGGGTAATGAATTGGAAAGTAGCTCCACGACCTTCAAATCCAGGATATTTTTCATTTGTAAAAAAAAAAAAGCTAATAAAACACGCACCCACCCGTCAGCTATCATCTCAGGGGCAGAGGAAAAAGGGATACACACAAACCAAGCCCCAGCTGGGATGTGAAAATCAGTTTCATTCTGGAGTGGGTGAAAGGGAACTTGTCAAGCAGACAGCAGGATCAAGTTTGCTTTGGGAAGAAGATCCGAGAGTGAGCAAGGGTAGAAGCAATGATCTGAGCTTTGCCTTTTGGAGCAACCTCAGTACAAAACTGAGTGGAAGTCTCTTATTCAACCTGCCAAAACTGATGACTGCACTATGCTGTGCCCCTCGTTTGCCCTATTTTATTGCTGCCTCACAGAGAGCTCCTGTGATACAGAGGGCTAGTTGTAAGGTAGAAGCAAAAGCACAATTCTCAGATCACAGCTTTCCAAATGGTCCACAAATGAATTCATGGCCTTGCCATCAAAGCTGCCACACTAGCTGAGCCCAGCCAGGACTCCCCTTGCTCAGGTGGATTTTAACACCTGCATTTTTCTGTATTAAAAAAAGCATAGCTTGCTTACTGGCAGTTTGTAGGAAGCTGCTCATAATTTAATTTTACATATGCCAGATGCCAAAGTTACAGCCAGCATTTACCCTACCCATGTCTC